AGCTCCATCAGCATCCTGAGGCTGTCCCTCACCCTGGGAGCTGCAGGACACACGGGGCATGGCTGTCCTTGCAGCCCCCAGGGCAGTGTGACAGCAAGCAGCTTCCAGAGAGAGCAGAGATCCCTGCCTTGTCCCAGCAAATCCTTGGAGAAGCCCCCCGGGATGCTCTGGGCTCCTGCCCCGGCACTCACCACCCGCCTCTCCCTGTTTATTTGGAAGTGTCACCTCCCCACTCTGCTGTGGTGACGGATGGGGCTGTCCCAGCAGTGGCAGGACATCCCTCCTAGCACAGCCTCTGCACCAGCAGCCCCCCGTGCCAGGCTCTGTCCCACCGGGAACATGCCAGGAATGCCCAGGTGCTCTTACCCTGCAAACGTGCAGCACAGCCCGGGAGCTGAGACAAAGCCGCTGAGAAATCCCCGCTGCTCCTAATCCCCCACCAGCACTAAAATAATGGAGCATTATCTCAGCAGGCTTTAAGCCACTAATTACTCCAGGGATGGCTTAATAAGGAAGGGACACCCACCTGCTAGAAGTGGCCTAAGCCTGTCTGCTGGCCAGTTACACAACAGCACCTTGGGCATCCTTCAGCCCTCCCGGACCAACCCAGGCTGGGACAGGGAAGCAGGAACAGCCCTGTTCCCAGCCTGGGGGGTGTCTGAGACAGAGCAAATACCCAAATAGCCACAAATGCTTCCCCAGAGCACATGTCACTGCCTCAACATCCCCATGGACTCAGCCAGGAGGAGGCAAGTGGGAGTCTGCTCCCAAACTCCCAAAAACAGCCCCAAAATCTCAGGGGCTTGGTGGATGTCAGAATCTGAGGTATTGATGATTCTGAGATTGTATAAATTCTCTGTCTTTCAGCCCCACTGCCAAAGCAGAAGCCATAATTCGTCTGTGCTGTTTCAAGGTTGTTTATTCTGTTTATCTCTAACATGTTCTGCTGCCCTGCCGCAGCTCTGTCCTGCAGGGCAGCGTGTGGGGCTCTGCCCTCAGTGGGATGGTACAAACATTAAATACCACAAACTACCTGTGCTGGATTTACAATAACGTGCCAATATCTGTCACCTACGTTGGACAGTGTGTCCCCAGCCTGAACCAACAGAAAAATGCCAACACCACAGTGAAACATGGAGGGCATGAAGAAGGAGAAAAAGGACAAGACACACCCAATTCCTCCATCTTGTCCCCTTTGGACCCCTTATCTAGAATCCTAAAATTTTACTTTTGCACCCGTGCCACACTTAATTATTACTCTTATCAAACACTCAGAGCTGGTAATTCATCCTGTAAGATTGAAAACTCTTTTCCATGGACAGAGATCACAGACAGTGTCTCTGGGGGCTCTGTCCAGGGGGTTCCTGACCCCTGCCAGGGTCCCAGACCTGCCAGGGCAGCCAGAGGGAAGCTCGGGATTCCCACAGGTGGAGGAAATCACCTGCTCGCAGGCTCTCCACACCAACCTCCTCTCTCCAGCTCACACGGTGAGAGATCATCCCACATCCATCCTGATGCTCCAAGGGACAGTGTGAGAGCAGGCTCTGAGATCGGTTTAAACCCTGTCCTGGCAGCTTGGCCTGCAGGTGCCAGGGGCTGCTCCTGAGCCCCCTGGCAAGACCAACATCTCCTCACCACAAGAGCCCAAATCACGAGCAGCTTCAGCAAATCTTAGCCAGGGCTCCCCACGAGCCCACGTGTCCCAGGAGCTGGAGCGTGAAAAGTGAGCTGGGCAGAGGGGAGGGCTTGGGTTACAGCTGGGAACAGCCACGGCGGGGCTGGAGAGGGCTCTGACAGCTCCTGGCTGCTCCCTGGGCAGCGATATCTGCAGATCTCTTACAAATAAATATCATTGCTCATTATCTCGGCATTAAAGTTACATGCTGGGCGAGATGGGCACTGAGCTTTCTCTCGCTAATCTAAAACGGATGCCAGCGCTTCCATTATTAATCTCCCAGGTCCCTGCTGCTCCGTGGCTGCCAGCTCTGCCACCGCCACCCCACGTCCCCACAGGACAGTGGAGCAGCTCAGCAGCCTCACACGTGGCCTGGCAGCTTCACACCCCAGCTCCTGCCAGGGGCAAAGCCTCCTCCAGTAGTGCCAGGGCTTGGAGTTTCCTCAGGTTTGGCTCTGCTGAACCCGTTTCCACAGGGTGAGATGAGCAAAGGGCAGTGGGGACAGTGGAGGTTCAAGGATGCACAAGAGCAGCAAACCTTCAGCTGGACAAGGCTGGTGCCCGCAGACCCGCTAAATGTGGAGCCACAGGGAAGACCCCTGCAAGAAAATCTCCTGGCACGAACAAAACCGAGACCAAAACCCCTTGGTGGTTGCGTTCACCCCATGAGCAGCATCCCACTGTGCCACAGACCAGACCCCAGGCTGGGAGCACGTGCCTTGCAAGGCACCGAGGGGGTTTGACGCCCACATCCTGCTGTATCCCGGGCTCCTGCTCCAGCCTGGCACGGAGCTGAGCTGCTGCAGGATGTGGCAGGGCACTGCCCTGCTGCCCACGCGTGGCACCAGCCGCTTCCTGCGACGCCAGAGGACGGTGAGTCACCAGGACGGGCTGCAAAACTCCTCCTGGCCCTGCAGAGCTCCTCCTGGCCCTGCACGGCTCCTCCTGGGGCTGCACAGCTCCTCCTGGGGCTGCACGGCTCCTCCTGACCCTGCACAGCTCCTCCTGGCACTGCACGGCTCCTCCTGGGGCTGCACAGCTCCTCCTGGCTCTGTACAACTCCTCCTGGCCCTGCACGGCTCCTCCTGGGGCTGCACAGCTCCTCCTGGGGCTGCACGGCTCCTCCTGGCCCTGCAGAGCTCCTCCTGGGGCTGCACGGCTCCTCCTGGCCCTGCACGGCTCCTCCTGGGGCTGCACAACTCCTCCTGGCCCTGCACAGCTCCTCCTGGCCCTGCACGGCTCCTCCTGGCCCTGCACGGCTCCTCCTGGCCCTGCACGGCTGCTCCTGGCCCTGCACAGCTCCTCCTGGCCCTGCCTGAAGCTGCAGGGGCATGGCTGCAATCCAGGGCCCGGCAGCAGCTTCAGGGCAGGGATGGATGGCACAGCCACGGGAGGTGGGTTTGTCCCTGCTGCTGACAGCACAGGGCAGCCACGATGCCCAGAGAGACCAAACTGGACTGCCAAACATCGGTCTGGCATAGAGAGAACGGCCCAAAGCCTCAACACAGAAAGTTTCCCTTCCCCTGACCACACACAGATGGACCAGGAGAGAAACAGAAACAGCTTTTCCCATTTCCCCAGGTTAGTGCCCAAGGCATCCACCTACTCCCAGCACCATGAAATCACCCACCAGAGCCCCGAGTCACAGCGAGGTGACAGCACCATCACCCAGGCTGCTCCCTTCCCTTCATTTCTCCTTTTTAAGAGGACAATTCAACTTCAACCCTTTCATTATTCATACCAGACCCTGACCTGACATCCTCCTGGCTCCTGATCCTCCCCGTCACATCTTACCAGCCCCCAGCCACGCTCCCACTGTCCCCAGGGGATGAGGGTTCCTTGTGCCAAGCCCTCTCTTGCCAAGGGGGACGTTTCCTGCCTGCCCTGACGTCAGGCGGCCGCGTCAGGGAAATGAATGTGGATTTCAACATCCTTTGGTTTGTCAGCTGCTCCTTTCCACATCCCCATGGTGAACCCCCTCCCAAAAAAAGCACACCCTGCAATCCTCCTTCTGCTCACTTGGCTCCATCCAAGGAGAGTGTTTGTCACCTCCAAATAAATATTTATTAACCGAGCTGCAGGTGTCTGGGGCTTCCCACCTCCTCTGCTCTCAGCTGCGCTGACACCGGAGCTGTGCCGAGCTCCCAGATGTCAGCTGGGAGCAGCTCCTGGAGCGTTCCTGCTGCCTGCTTGGAGCCCAGCATCCACAGAGCTGCTCCAAACTCCTCAGGAAGCCCAGCAGGAATGCCTTGGATGAGAGAGTGGCAGCAGGAGTGGATCCAGGGGATGGTGGGAAGGAGCCTTCCTTGGGCTTCTCCTTCTGGGCAGAATGAAGGAACACAAAGTCCAAAGGCAAGGGTCACTCCTGCAGGACTGACCATCCCCAGCTCTGCTGCTGCAAATGTGGGATAAAGACTCCCTGAGCAACAGAGGAACGGGAGAAAAATGAGGGGAAAGGAGGAGAAAGTCCCACCAAACTGCCTGCAGCACAGGGCAGCTCGCTGTGGGAATGGAAACCTTCCCAAGCCACATCCCCGGGCACCCCTGATCCCCAGCCAAGGGACAGCAGCAGCCACGAGGGAAGGGAAAGCAGAACCCGAGATTTAGCGGTCCACCACAATGGGGGAGATGCTTATGCCAAGGACAGCGTGTAGAAGGGACACAGGGGTCCCTGTCCTCTCTGGGGAGACAGTCCAAGGCCACCACACCGCCCTTGACGCACAAAGCAAAGGGATTTGGGCACCTCTGATGCCCTTGGGGACACCACTGGGCTCCTGTCCAGCACAGGGTGGTGATAAACCCGAGCCTGGGAAACGCTCAGACGCTGCCACAGACACGGGGAGCGTTTTCAGAGTCTGGCCTCTCGCCCTGCACGCCCTGTCACCGCTGTCACCGCGTCCCCCTGTCCCTCCCACCCCTCTCGAATTAGCAGCCATCGACCCCGTCCCCCTGCGGAGCTGACATTAATCCGGCCATGTTTGTTTAACAACAGCTCCCATTGATCTGCAGCCTGATCCTCCCAGTCAATACAGCCTTTTGCCAGGCTCTGGAGTGCAGGATCTGGCTCTGGAGTGGCCCTTCAAGAGAAAGGCTCTGCAGGCTGATAGGATCAGATGCTGTCAGTGCTGCTCTGGGACCCATTAGCTTTAATTAGCTGATGATGCTGTAGAGGCCACATAAAACAATGAAGGGGATTGATCCCTCGTGTAACACTATTGACAGTGGAGCTGCATCTGGGATCAGTTTGGTGCCGGATGCATCTGTAGGTCTATAAAACCAAGGCCTGTTTTCTTTTTCTGGGTTGTTTTTCTTTTTTTTTTTTTTACTTTAATTTTAAAATCCCATCATGTTAGGGCTGCCAGGTTAAAAGTAAGGGAGAAAAAAAGAAGGGAAAAAAATCCAGGGAGCAGGGGAGCCCTCTCTGGTTAGGGCACATCTAAGCACTTCCACATCCCTCCCTGCCAAAGACCCTCCTGTGGGTTGCACACGCCGGTCATTAGGTCATTAAGGCACTGCTTCCAGGTCACTGTCATTATCCCATTTGGAAAACAAGCCACCAGCTCTCCACGTCCTTTGCTCTGAAGGGACACCAGTCCCTGAAACACCTGCATTCTGCAAAGCCCTTTCCAGTGTCACCCATCACACCTGCAAAGGCCTTTCCAGTGTCACCCATCACACCTGCAAAGCCCTTTCCCTCTGCAGTGTCACCCATCACACCTGCAAAGCCCTTTCCCTCTGCAGTGTCACCCATCACACCTGCAAAGCCCTTTCCACCCACCACACCTGCAAAGCCCTTTCCCTCTGTGCAGTGTCACCCACACCTGCAGCAAGGAAAGGATCCCTGATCACAGCACAGCATTCCTGATCTCGGGAAAGGATCCCTGACCATAGGAAAGCATCCCTGATCACAGAAGAGCATCCCTGACCACAGGAAATTATCCTTGACCACAGGAAATGATCCCTGATCTCAGGAAAGGATTCCTGATCACAGCAGAGCATCCCTGACCACAGGAAAGCATCCCTGATCTCAGGAAAGGATCCCTGACCATAGGAAAGCATCCCTGATCACAGAAGAGCATCCCTGACCACAGGAAATGATCCCTGATCTCAGGAAAGGATCCCTGATCTCATGAAAGGATCTCTATCTCATGAAAGGATCTGTGATCACAGCAGAGCATCCCTGATCTCAGCAGAACATCCCTGATCTCAGGAAAGGATCCCTGATCACAGCAGAGCATCCCTGATCTCAGGAAAGGATCCCTGAACTCAGGAAAGGATCTCTGATCTCAGGAAAGGATCTCTGATCACAGGAGAGCGTCCCTGACCACAGGAAAGCATCCCTGATCTCAGCAGAACATCCCTGATCTCAGGAAAGGATCCCTGATCACAGTAGAGCACCCCTGACTCCAGCAGAACATCCCTGCAGAGGTCAACCCTTGGAGGTCTCTGGAACCCTCTCTCCCCACAACAGCTACAAAAACTCCCTCACAACTCTCCAAAAAGGGGAGGCAGAGAAAGCCCATGGCCTGAGCCCTCCGGGGCAGGCAGTTTGAAGCCCGAGTGCAGTGCCAGGGCACGGAAGAGCCGGGCAGGCGGGCACGGAGCGGGCAGGGAGGCGGGCAGGGAGCGGGCAGGGCGTCAGAGCCAGCGCGGGGGGAGCACATGGCAGCGCTGCCGGCTGACACCCCGGCCTAACGCTTTCCAGATGTGGCTGCAGGAAGACAGAAGCAGAGCTGTTCCCTGCTGAGGAAGCTGGAAACGCTCAGAGATAATGTGGAATTCCTGAACGGGAGCCAGCGGCGGGCCGGGGCTGGGGCGCAGGGACAGCCAGCGAGAGGCAGCGCGCCGGGGCCGGCACAAAACTCCTCTCTTTTGTGTGTGTGTGTGTTTTATTTCGGGAACTCTGCATGTAAAAACCCTTAATTTATACGCTGTGTGGGTTGCCGGCTGTACCCAACAAATGGAACATTTTCTCCATCCCCTTGTGAGTGTGATAAACAGCCGCTGCGCAGAGAGGGAACAGAGCCTTTTTCTTCCCCGTGATAAATACGCTCCCAGCAGCTCTCAGCTTCTTGGCTTGCAGATTATTATTTTTATTTCTTCTCCAAGAGGGAGGCCTCGGTCCCCTGGCCAGGTAGGCAGCCCAGCAGCAGGCAGGAGAGCAGTGGGTGCTGCTGGGCTCTGCCTGGCTCACCCTGTGATCTGTGATCTCTTCCTGCCCAGCACTGATTGAGGTGACACAAAGCCAGGCACCAGACACCTACAGGGAGCAGCCCCTGTCACACACCAGGTGGAGATGGGCACCCATCTGCTCCAGGGTGCCACAGAGGCATTCCACACCAGTGGCACCCACAGCCACGCCAAGCAGCTCCTTCAGGAGCACCCATGTCACACCCAAACTCTGCCCAGGACAAGCAAACCTTCATCCAAAATCAGGGGGTTTTGCCATTTCTGACTGAGGAAGGTGTCTTGGATAAACAGCATCTCCTGTGGTATTTCAGCACTTTTTTCAAACCAATCTTTTCTCAGAGAGCAATCTCAGAATGGTTTCCAGGAACATGGATGGGCTTTGGAGCAGGCCCAGGAGGAGAACAACCACAGGAATCAGGAGGGTCTCTTGGAGCATCACTCTGGTTCAGCTGGCATGAGGGGCCAGAACGGGGCTGGCACAGGCAACACAGGGCAGGGACAGGGACCACAGCAGAAAAGCACTGATGAATTCAACCCAGAGCCCTACACATCTCCACATTGGCAGCCCATGGAAATTGGGGTACCCCAAGAGGGGTGATGGTTCCTCTCATTTGTAATCCAGCTGATGGGGAGCTCAGTCCGTTGTTCCTGCAGCTTGGTTTATTTAATTTTTCCCAAAAAAGGGGGATGTTGCTTGAGATAACTCTGGGTGTGGCACTGAGGAGACCTCGGCGTTGTGGTTTTGTCACCAGTTTCCTGACAGCATTCCCTGGGCATCACTGGGAATGGGATGGCTCAAGGTCAGCTCTGGGATCTTCCACACAGGCAGCAGGTAAAGCTCTGGTCCAAAACTCCTCCCTGGGTGACAGCTGAGGTGTCTCCTGTGACTCCAAGAAGACATTTCTGAGTGCTCCCCCCAGCCTGTCCCCCAGTGTGGCAGAAAGTCATGACAGAATAGGTTAAAGAAGGCAATTCCCCCCCAAAACAGTCCCTTGGTGACCAGGCTTCAGTCAGTAACACCAAAACAAGCCCAGGAGCCCTCTGAGCCAGAGGGGAAACCCTGAGGAGCAGTCTGGGAACAGGGACCATCCCCTGGCCTTCCCACCTGCGCCTCCAGGGATCTTTACACTGACACCCACACGGATCCTGATCCCAGCACCCCAAGGCTGAGCAGCACCCAGTGCCCAGACCTCCCCAGCTTCTCCAGGGATGCCAATCCCATATGGATTTTCCACAGCAGTTACATCTTTATTTCCTCTGGGGACAGTCCACAGGGAATGGCTGCTCTCAGCTGTTGGCAATGTGGCTGGGCAGGGGTGAGGGCAGTGAGGGCAGGCCAAGGAGCAGCACCACACAGAGCTTCTCATCCATGATATTCCACACAGACCCCATGGCTCCCCTTTTAACCTCTGTTAGCGAGCCAAAGTCCTTGAATTATCCCCCCCTGCAGCTCTGCTGAGCCCCCAGAGCCCCCTGGCTAAGGCTGCCCAGCCCTGCCATGATCCCTGGACGTGGACAGGCAGCAGAGCTGATGCTGATGGGCATGAAGGTCAGCGGAGAGGGAAGGTCAGTTCTGGCAGCCCTGGGGCAGCAGTGCCCACTCCCTGCCCTGCCCACGCTGCCCTGGCCCTTCCCAGACCCATCCCGGGGGGCTGCCAGGGCACAGCTCAAATAAAAACCTTGGAAATGCATCGCTGGGAACGGGAGAGGAAAGCAAAGTGTTGGCTCTGAGCAGCCCTGCTGGTGCCACCGCTCCCTGCCCTGCTGTCACTGTCACTGTCACTGCCAGAGCCAAGCGGGCTGAGCTGGCAGCTGCTCTCCCACCGCTCTCCAGGGAATGTCGGAGTCTCTGGCAAGCTCCTGGAGCAATGGCATGACCCAGGATGATGTTTGCCACAGCAGGGTGTGATTCAGCATGATTTGATGCACCCACCATCCAGCCAGCCACATCGGTTCTGTATTCCCACCGCTCACTGCTGGGGGAAACTGAGGCACAGAGGGACCCTACCAGGGACAACAACCCACACTGCCCATTCCCCCCACAGCAATCCCACCCCTGTGTGGCTGCAGCCCTCCCTCAGCAGAATAAGGCCAGCGAGAAGAGCCACATCCCCAGTGCTGTCCCCAACCACTGCGGACCCCCAGAGCTGTGCCCAAGTGTCCTCTGTGCTCTCCCCCACGCTCCTGTCAGTGCAGAGAGGGTGCCAGGCTCAGGAGTGCCACACAGCCCCCATCCCTGCCTGCCTGGCTGCACGTGTGCACACATGTGTGCAAAAGAGCCGCCTGTAATCCCCCTTACATCTGCTCGTCCCTGCACATCCACCAAACACGGAAATTCCCCAGCTCCTCACACGGCAAAACCCGGGGTGCACACATTTCCACAGGGCATCACTCCTTCCCAGCCCAGCTCCAGGGTTCCCGTGGAGTTTACAAAGAAGAAAACACAGCTGGACATGGCTGGGTGGAGGAGAAAAAAGCCACATATCCACGGACACAGAGGTGGGAAGGAGCCTGCATCCAAGAGGGATGAAAATCCCAAACTTACTGCTCTACCCTTCCATCTCCCCACTTTTGAAGGTGGCTTCAGCTGCTCCCCTCTCTCTGGAAGCAAAACACAGCCCTGAGGAGAAGGACAAAGCCACCACCACGTGTCCCATCCCTGCTCCAACACCTCCTCCCGGTCCCAGCCCAGGCTGTCACTCGTGATTTGTGGTGTTAATATTCCAGGGGACGGACAGCAAGGGGTGAAACAGCAGAGGAGAGCCAGCTCTTGGAGAGTCATAGCTGAAGGCAAAGCAGCAGCACTGATGGGTCCCAGGATCCGGGGTGGCAGGGGGTGGAGGAGGAAGAAGAGGAGAGAAGAAAGCAGGCGAGGAAGGCTGGCTAAGACCAAAACACAAAACTCTGCCTTTACACAAGCTTGTCACAGCTTAGGGATGGAGCAGCAGCACCTCAGAGAGGGACCAGGATGGCAGGAGAGCCAGGCAGCAGCGGGATGAGGCTGCTCCCAAAGGATTTCCCCGGCAGCAGCCGCCAAAGCCGCGCTGATCCAGCCCCAAGCGCAGGCATCACCTGCTGAGCCTGTCCTGGCTGCCCCACTGCTCCCACCCCGCTAATGCCCCGGCCTGAGCCCGCCAGACTCGACAGCCGGAGCCTTTTTTAAGACCAGCAACCCTTGAGAGGCTTAAGGACAAGAATATCTCCATTATCCGAGCCCCAGCTTAAAGGCTGGGAATTATCAGCGGGGTCCCCTCTTGGGTGGCATCCCCTACTGCCAGCAGTGCCTCTGCTCCCAGGGGGCTGAGAAATCTCCCCAAACCCCCCCAGAATTCAGCACTCCATCCCCTCCCCGGTGCTTTTCACACCTCCCATCAGCAGCCAGGCATGTGTGCCTGGCAGGCAGCCACAGCCCGGCCCGGCGCGGAGCTGAGCCGGGAACATTTTGCTGGGAAAAGGGCAATTTAATTATCCTGCTCTTCTGTTTCATGACAACACGGGAACACGCTGCTCAGACACGGAAAGTGCCGTGCAGGCAAACAGCAATCCCGCCTGGAGTTCCCAGGGATGGCTCCTGGCTTCCTGCTGGAGGAGGAGGGCACGGCAATGATGGGGTTAAAGCAAAGCCCCAAACTCCCAGGTTTTTCAGGAGTCCAAAGAATCAGGAAAAATGGTTTTGTTGTCCAGCTGCAACGCTTCTCGAGTGTCGTCTTGGGGCTGTTTGGCCACGCCGGTCTATTTTTACAGGGGAAAATGGTATTTTGAAGGGAAAGGTTGAGCAGGAGAGGTATTAAAAATACTGCAGCCCTCTGTGGGGAGATCAAACTTCCCTGAACTCAGCCAGACTTCACAAACCACATCTGACCTTCCCAAGCACCACTTAGCAGAAAATTTACTACTAAAATGTATTAAATAATAGAAAATATACTCCAAAGCACCTCTTGAAGTCAGCCTTAGCCATGGGACACAGGGACAGAGAATGCTGCCAGGAGCAGCTCCCGTTCCATGGTGTGGGCAGGAGAATCCCGGGATGCTGGCTGGGCCAGCACGTGTGCCTG